AATAAATGCTTAAATAAAAAAGAAAAGCAAATTGACTACAAAAATGCGTGATATCATTAGGAAAAAAAATCGGTACAAGGGTAGGAGATACAAAACAAAATATTGCGAATGGGGTTATTTTTGGGGGATTGTTGTTGTTGTTTTTTTTATTTTGTTTTGTTTTATGTTTGTTGTTATTGTGGGGGTTTTTTCGGGAAAAAATGAAGTAATGAATACCTCGACGCGAGACGATAGACATGGATTAAGTCTCTGTCCGGATGTCTTCATTGTAGATTCATGTTTCGTCTCTGTCTGGTGATTGTCTCTAGTTCGATAACCCAGTCTACCCGTCGCACAGTGCGCCAAACATCAAAACCCCTCTCCTGCACCCCCACCTCCACCAGTGGGGCAAACATCCCAACCCCTCCCTCCCCCCATCTCCACCTCCACTCCAAAAAGGAAGATGGCATTAGACATGTTGGCATCGAAAAGATCGTGCCGTGAACATGTAGGAAGCCCACTTAATATGGCACATATGCCATTTATCTTTATGATACGAGCTTTCCTCCTTTTCTAAAGGTCATTTTTTACTTGTTTAACAGTGTCTTTTTATTGTAGATTAGATAGAAGGACGCGTGTATATTATAACACAGTTTAACATAGCCTTTCAATCAAAGAGTCACAACGAATACACACACTTTAGAACGATGGAGACTGTGACATATGATCGACCGGCCATCATCATGATCATTATCATCATCGTCGTCGTTATCATCATCATCATCATCATCATCATCATCATCATCATCATCATCATCATCATCATCCTCATCATCATCATCATCATCATCATCATCATCATCATCATCATCATCGTCACCATCATCTTCATCATCATCAGTATCATCGTCATCTTCATCTTCATCATCTTCATCTTCATCATCATCATCATCATCATCATCATCATCATCATCGTCATCATCATCATCATCATCATCATCATCATCATCATCATCATCATCATCATCATCATGAAATAACAGCAACCTCGGTGCCGTTTACTTTTTCAGTGTCTTATCTAATTTATTAGAGTATTTCTGAACTCTCTGTCCGCACGTTTATAGATTACCCTTTTTACGATTAAGCATGATGTATCCTTGAAGAGTAAGAAAATAACTATGTTTTCAATTATTTTCTTAGCTTTTTTAAACCGGCACATGAAAATAATATAATATAGCATTTGTATAACGCACATCCCCGCTCAAGAGAGCTAGTTCTATGAGCTGTAAAATCTATCTAATTACCCGAGCAGATCCTAGAGCACATATAAACCTTCTCGTCTTCGTGGGAAGCTTACAGGGCAACACTAACAACCTGACAAGATCTTTCGCCATCTTTACACGGGTGCCCATTTCCACCTGTGTAAAGTGAGGAAATTTCATGTAAAGTGTCTGTCTTACGAACATAATGTCCTGCTCCTGATTGGAAATGAACCCAAGACCGTATGGTTGAGGATCTAAGAGCCTAACTACTAGACCACCGACGCCACGTCAAGAATCAACGCAAATTTACTCTACAAATTAGAGCACAGTATCTCAGCTTCTTCTCCTTTTCTTCTTTTCCTCAACATCAATTTTTATTTCTTTTGTCTTTGTTTGCATCTGATTTAGCGTTTGTCGTATTACCGTTATGCCCTTTCCCGATGTCCCCTTCTGACTCTCGCACAGATTTATCTGTGATCGGCATGGTATCGTTTTTTTGTGAACACATTTGTTTATGGCTCCGGCAAGATCGTCTGTAAGGAGATGCAGTCACGAAGCAGGGTTTGTAGTGTATAATTTAGACGAGGAACGCCGCCAAGAAAAGATAAACTGAGCGATAACAAAAGATAAAAAGTATGCGAAGCTTTGGGAACTGGAAAAGGAAGGGGTTGGGGATGTTTTAAATTGAAAACGAGAGTGATGGGGATGAGGAGTGGTAAAGCGTTTCTCCATCATTGTATCGCTTTATTTCTTAGCCAAAGTCAGTCTCAGGTGAAAAATGAAGATCAAATGAGCCCGTCCTTTATTTTTCAGAAGAGTCGATTAATTGAAATTGTCTATAAAACAAAATGAAATGAAAAGAGATCAAAATTTGACTCACTCTTTTGTGTTTGACACATTAGCGAGCGTTTTTTCAACGCATTCCTGCATTAACGAATGCACTTTGGAGAAATACATGCAGTTTGTCCTTTTTCAGTTCCTTGAAATAGCAAGAATACATTGGGACTTTTAATGTTTTGTTCAATTGAGGCAATGATTATTGTTGGTAGAAAATGCTTACTGCCCCAGTTTTTAGTTCTGTTTATTTTCGTGTAAAGTTCTATTTCTTGTCTTGTGTTTTTCTTCTCTCATTTCATTCTCAGTTCATCAGCTTTGATACTCCTCCTCTTCCTCTTTTATATCCTTTCTTTTTGTCTTTCTTCTTTTCTTATATTATTTCATCCCGATCCTCATCTTTCTTCCTACGCTATTCATCCTCCTCTTTTTACTTAGTGCCATCAATGTTTTCTTCTTCCTCTGACTATTCGCCACTGACGTCTGTGGTGTAACAATTTGACTCTTCGTTGTCGCACGAAAGAAACCTTAGTTCAAGTCCGAAGTGGGGAGAAAACGTTTATCGAGTATTTTGATTTTATGCAGAAATATTTTCCTCTCAGCCTTGATTGACCTTGACAGGCATAATCGGAAGCCCGCCTCCTAAATGATCTAAACTTGTGTGGATAAGGGCTTGACACCACCTTTAATTTAGAAAAAGAAAATCATTTTCCTCCTGCCTTCTTTGTGCCCATTTCAACTTTATTCCGTTTCTTCCTCCTCTAAAACTTCACCCCATAGAATGGTTTCGCTAGTTTTGTTTCTGACAGTTCCGTCTAGCTCAATACCTCAACTTTGCTTTTATGGGATTACATAATGGACAACAAAATAAAGTCTGGAATACCCGCGAATATTTCTTTCATTTTTTTCCATTTCCTCTTGATTCTTGTAATCCTCTTACACTTTAACGTGCTTTGGGGAGTGGGGCGGGTATAGTACTTCATTATAGGTTCTTCGTGCAATCCATTAATAAAATAGCCGTTGCATAGAAATCAGTACTATTTTTTTAACGAGTTGATTGCTCTAAACTCATCTCTCTGTCGCTGTATCTGTCTCTGCCTTTCTCTCTCTCTCTCTCTCTCTCTCTCTCTCTCTCTC